TGCTGTCGGGCAACGACGAGGCCTTCTAGGCACTGCTGGCACGCTGTTGGGCGTGCTGGCGTGCGTGGACACTGGTCATCGTGCGCAGAGCACTACTGGCGGGCGTACAGGCGTTGTGGGGCACGCTACTGTGCGTGCGACGCACTGCTGTGTACGCGGACGGGCTGGCTGCGTGCTGCCGTGCACGTTGGCGTGCACTGCACACGCCTACACACATGACTGTGGCGGCACGATTACATAAATTGCTCGGGACTTGCCGGTTAGATTTTGGAATCACTCGGGAGGGCTTATATAGCACCTCTGGGTGCATTTTTACTAAAAACTTGGACCGAACAACCTGATATCGACATGATCTTCTTACTATGAACTTAAATATATGAAAAGAGGATAAATAGAAGAATACCCCTTAAACTGCTCGAGAAATGCACGGCGACTTGCGTGCGTGCTCTGTGCTCGAATGTTATGCGTGTGCTCCTCCTTAGCTTCTGCTATTCTTGGGGATTTTTGTACAATTTTTCTCCAACTTTTTCTCACTATTTTTCTATATTCTTTAAGGCTGGTTCTCGGCTTTTGTATAAAAAGTGCGTGAAGTTTTCTTAAGGAAACTCACGGCTACTACTATTTAAAAAGAAGGTAAAATATTAAATTAACTTGGGTCAAAGGAGGTGAAAGATGATGAATTCTCCCTTGATGCCACATGTCTCGGCCGTGGGGTGAAGTGGCGTGGCCTTGGCTTAGTCACCGTCCGAGGTGGTGCGCATGCACGGGCTTAGTCATCGCACGCGGCCTCATGTGGTGCCATGTGTGCCAAGCTACTAGGTGATTCACCTTGGCAACTTGCACATATAATATTACTTGAAGAATTCCTCACGACAATTACTAAGGAGATGGGCTTGGGTTTGCTTAACATTGATCATGAGGTTTAGCTTAATATAAGCTAATGATGGGCGGTAGCTTAGTACCGCGCGTGCTATGCACGACAACGTGCACTACGCACGGTTGCGCGTGCATACACGCATGCCAACGCACGGCGTGCGTCCGTGTGAACTATGACTTGAATTTTCGAGTGATGAACTTGATTTCGAAATTAAATTCGTACATTCTTGACTTTTAATAATTAATCCTGATTAATTATATCCGTTTATAAAATAAACAGTTAGGAAATTAATTATCAAAATGATCTTGGTTAATAAATA